TGCCTGAAATAATCCTGCACGTTCACGCGTTTCTGCTTGGATTGCTGCTCCAGACATTGCAATCATCATACCGAATTCGCATAATCTAATACAAGGATAAGCCTTCTATCAAACCAAATACTACAAAGTTAGAAAAGATACATAGATATCAGTAGGAAGAAAGTTTAGGAAGGTCTCCGCCCCTCCGATCCGCTTGCCTTTCTCCACAATCGTGTTTGATTAAGATAGATCAGTGCTAAAGTCCCTCCTACCTCATCATGACAGCATACTTGTACACAATACGTACAGGCGATGAGGGTGGTTCTTCACTCTGCTTGCATAATGTATTGGTATTAAAGAGGGATATATACAGTAACATTGTAATACGGAGTGGTGGCAATGTTATTAATATCGCTACATCACAACGTTCAGTTGAATCAATATAAACAGCAACAAGGAGGAGAAAAACTACGCGAAACAGAAAGAAACGACATCATTATCAAAGCTGTCTGTGTGCAAAATAGGGAATGTCGCCATTTTTATGACAGCTGACTGCGCGTCTATTAAAAATGTAGAAACGGCCTCCATGCTCATTATTGACGTGAATATCGTGTATATATTAATATTTTTTTTTATTTTTTCTCTCTCTCCCCGCAGACTACAAAGCCAGCAGCACCAACAGCCATCACACAATCCAACGTCGCCTAACCCAATAATAACAGTGGACGGAGCAACGACTTTACCCGGTCAGTTAACCAAACAGCAGTCGCTCGACCCAGCACACGCGCTCCTGGAAGCCACACAGAACAAGTCACACACGCCGCTATCACCAACACTCGCGTAGAGACTCTGAGAAAAAAATATATAGTAAAGTTTTATGTCATATATATCCAGATTTGTTTTCGTTTCTCTTCTCCAAGAGAAGAATGTATAGATGTTAGCTTTATTTGTAGGTCAGATTTGTCTCATCGGTGCATCCAAGATAACATTCAGATGGTCTTCTCAACTCGGGACGAGCCGACCCCGTCTATCACGTCAACCTACAACGCTCTATAATTCAGCATTTGGTTTGTGTATACCATAACTTTTAAAAAGACATTTTCAAGTACGACATCAATGATAATGCAGTATATACTCCACAAGCAGATGCAGTCAGCAAAAAACATAAATCATGTCGCTTTAAGAAGCCTGAAACACACATGCACACAAAATGGCGTCTGGACAATATCCAGCAACAAGCCGTTCCCTTAAAAACCAAAATGTATTATATTATATAGGAGAACATCGAGTTTTTAGTGTGAAGAAGATAGCTGACAATTTATTATTAATTTTAAAAACATTAATGTTAATGTGATGATTTTTTTAAAGAAAAAAGTGAGAGAGGATGAATGTGTGAAATAATGCTAAGCATATTTTACTTGTTCCATTTGATAGAATTTAGTCTAGGACTTTAGTAGGTCGAAGTTCACGCATTGATTGGTGGGTGTCTATTTCCCAGCTTACAGCACCAAACTCAGAATTACACCATATAGTACAGCTAATTTATGATAGTTGCGATACTGCTCTCAAGAAAACTTAGTTGGGTTTTCTCGCATACATCACTATCCCATAATAGTTACTAAGTTGGAAAGTGGAATAGACCTCCCTGCTAGTTTTAGTCAACTTATTTTTAATTTAATTACGTCATAAATATGGAGAGTACTACTATCACCGGCGTCGTTTTCTTTCAGTCTCTAACCAACTGTGGTAGTGTTTTAGAGAGAGGGAGAGGGCAAAACAGATGAATATGTGTTTCAAATCATTCTTGTTTGTGCCTGCATTTTAGGAATGGGAAACTGTTAACTTTTTGTTATTATTATTATTGTAAAAAAATAAAAACGCAAAGCTATGCTTCTTTCCAATTACAGAACCCTTTTCACAAGATTACATGTGTCATTTATTTTTCTTTACCTAAACAAAACTATTTAGCTTGGCTTCCATATTATTAGAGAAAATAACGTCACTGATTCCCAGGTGGGTCTATCTACAAAAAAATGGCGTCTCTAAAACGGTTGTTTTTCTTTAAATCGGATTCAATTGCCTCAGAATCACGAGTGGTTCCTGATACGTACATGTATACCCCCGGATCATACAAATATTGTTTTTAAAGGAATCTCGAATTTGCCCCGCAGTGATAGAATCTGGCAAACTTGCCAGTCTTTTTAACGTGGTCCCATTGTACCCTCGTGTCAGTCAAACCGGTGACTGTAAGGAATAAAAGAATAGTGAAGAAAAGAGTGGTTCATTCGACAAACGTTACGAGTTGGCCTGCCTGTGCTGTTATTGATATGCTTTGAAGTGAATACGGACACGCATTGTGGGTATATTCTATATCGTCCTGCCTCCCTCCATGGATGTTTAACATGGTATTATCACAGTCTCAATTGTTACCCACCTAATATTTGTCCCCTCGTAGACGGGTTTATTCACACTATTTTGTCTTGGCTCCTGATCAACATTACCATAAGAAAACACATCCGCCTAAATGAGGGTGCTCCAATTAGGGGGCCCCCTGGTCGCTAATCGGCGCTGCATACAGACAAAGGCTGTGGTGTAGTGATTGCATTGGTGGGCCACACAAAACGACGTCGTCTCAATAAGTCAGAATTCAGACATGCAAGAAAAGTACAGAAGGGCTTAGTCCAAGCGGAAATAAATCTAAACTGGATACTTTCTGCCATCTAATAATGCGATGCTAAAATTCCAAGACATACATAAGATAAGACACCTCGTTTTTGGCCGGTCCAGTTTTCGAACCCCACTATTTGAAACCATTGGCAGATTTGACTCCCCTCGGAAAATTCATCTAAAAAGTTGTTGCATCTGATGGATTCGAGCTTAATAGGACATGAAATGTCACAAACTTGTTAAATGTGAGAGGAGAAAAGAATCTTACTTTTAAACAATATCACAATTATCGGACAGTCCCTATGCATTATGGTGAGCCGTGAAAAACACTACCCACTCTTTATTGTAGTTTTTTTCTCCTCGTTGTCGCGTCATGGGAACAATTCCAGCCCTATTAAAATGTAAAATTCCAGAGAAAGAAGCGAGGTAAGGGGGTCACTGAGTAGAATCATGACAGAAAAGTTGACATCCCTGTCACTGAAACCATATAACCGTCTTAGGAATCCATATAATGGCTCGTACCATTTTAGAGAATAAGGCGGGAATTTCGCAGGAATCTCCTTGAATTAAAATACTTTATCAGTGTCTGGGTAGGGCAGTGAATTATATCACTGCGTTTTACTTTAAGATTTTTTTTTAACATTGATGAAGATTGTTCTTTGCGGGTGACAAGTTTCGTGGAGGTGCGATTTTATGGATGGACATTGAAAAACGCACGTGTAGCAATGTGCCAAGGTATGTTTAAATTTGAAAGCATCGCCAGTCAAATTAGGCGGTTGAGTATCTTATAAGTATGCAACTGGAAAAAAAGACGCCAGATCTTTGCAAAAAAGTGAAGTGAAGGCATGGGCTCGACATGCCAATCAGGCCTATTCATAACCGTGAGTATGCGTCTCTTCAGCGGTAATGGATACGTGCCATGCAATCGAGTAATCAGGTTGTAGCTCCGCCCCTTCGATTTGCGGAGTCCCCTGCTAGACTCGCCGCTGTTTAGACGGACGTAAACAACGCATCTGCAATAGGCCGAAATACGAGCACATATAATGATCGAGAGGATCAAATACCATCTGTGTTTTTTGTGAGGCCGAATTCTCCGCCATTTTAAGGAGAAAACAATGAATTGCTGTCAAGTGTGCGGCTGGATTTGGATGGAATTCGTTCGCCCTCAGAATCTTTGTCTTGCTGTCCAAGTCGCCATCTTGATTTCTCTCCGAAGAAGACCGTCCTCTCCGACAAAACAGAACTGGGTACCGCTTACTTTTCCTTGTTTGTATCGACACATTTTAGTTCGTCAGATAAATTTAGATTATAGAATTGTTTTATAGAACCATGTTAATCGACGAGTGTGTGGTATTTTTTTCCGTTCGCGGACCGTAATTTCCGCATTCACCTGGTGTCAAGAAACGGGCGAGAAAAAAACACTTACAGTCACGCCTATTGCTATTGACGGGGTGTTAAACGGCTCATTAATTTACATCGTTTTTGTAGGTGAAGAAAAACAAGCAAGGCTGGACACCGTATGAATGTGGTAATTGCGTATCTTCAAATTAGAACAAATCAGCACTGCTTGGAGGTGTGTATTTTTGCGCGTTCCCGTAAATCAGCAACGATAAACTGGTGTCAAAAACACTATACACCGGACTACAGTACAGCGGGCGTTCCCTTACGTCTATCAACGGGAATACTAACACCGGCGTATTGTGTCTCTATAAGTCATTTTATTTTTCCCACAGACTACCACATTCATTCGTTCGAAATTCGACTTTATCTCCCCCTAAATTTTACGCAAGTACACGTTTTATTTACCGCAAAACATGGCGTAAATATAACAGGTACGAAATGCCACGTAAAAACCCAATCTACGACAATTTCGTTTATAAATTGGTGATAGGAGTTTACTGTATCTGCATTGTTATTGACTAAGTGTATTTTCACTGGCTGTCGCGTTTGACATCTCTATCGAGTACGTTTCTCTCGGGTATGCTTCTAACGTTATTTCCGTGCGAATGTGAGCGGTATATATTTGCCATAACAGGGACAACGTTGAACAGGCGAATTCGTTGTTACCAGTGAACGAATATACCGTGTTTTATCCCGTCTAACTCGACGGCGATGATATAATATTATTACCCCGTCCGCTGGTTTAAACGACAATTTTGTTAATTTCCTTACCGTTTAAAACAAATCTCCATTTCTTTTATAATGCTAAATGCGTGTGTACTTTTCTCTCGTTAATCCCATATACTTGGGGATCGATTAGCGGTAGAGGTGGAAAGCTGTCGTTTTGGTGGCACGTGAGGAAATACACAGAACGATTGGGGGACTTTAGTCAACACAAATAGGAAAGAATATTGTACTAGTACTTAAATTTAAATTCGTTATGCTCGTTGTTTATGGTAGCACTGTATACCACGAATATAATTAATAATATTTATAATTCTGGAAGGGGTGTGGGTTGATTATGTGATTAATTTTGTTGTTTTTGCAAAATATGTGCTGTTAATGCTGTTGTTTTTTCGTTAGTATATGGCGAGCGAGTTCACTGTATGGCGATGTTTGTTGAACGTGCAGCATGATAAGCGTCTAACTAAACACAACGAAATGTTGTATAGGAGAGGTCGCCAAGCATGCGTGGTAGCGATGGTTGTGTATTTACACGAAGTGTTTTCATACTGAAAAGGCCAAAAAGACAATGATCGCACTATTATATTATTCTGAAACTCGCCATCTTGAAATATCCGGCTCTCACACAAAATCAAAGGCCAATACCACAGAAATGGGTAGAGGAATACGAGTCAATTGCATGAAAGTAATTTTAGAATTGACTCGACGGTGAAGAGAATGCACTAAATTTACACTAAGTGAGGCTCGGGGCAGGTTCGCTCCACTGATACACCGCGACTTATAGCACTGAATTATAGTTTTTGTTTGTACGTTTTACGAATGATCAACGCTAAATACACTGTGTTCACATTGTATATCATGAAAGTAAGATTTCCCGCAACATTTTGCGTTAATTCGTTGTGTCTATTGGGATGCGAAAACGTATACATCGAGTCTCCGGATGGTAACACTGCGATAGCTCCGTTACCATTGTACCCACATTGTACTCGCAGACTGACAGCTCTGTTACCAACACAGCTATATATAGAGCCTCCGACTCAATTTGGAACGAGAACCAGCAATGTCACCAAGTTCACGAACAAGTTGAACTTTTATCGATTTTTGTGTGCTATAAATTAGATTTTCGATTCAATTTACTGTTTGGTATACGTGACATAATACGGACCATGAGGTTGAGTAGGAAAAAAAAAACGTTGTCAGTCAGTCAATGTTATAACAAAAGCAAATGGGAGGTGCCAATACTTGCCGTGTATGGCACGCATAAATTAGATAATAACACAGAAACATTGATGGTCTTTTAGTCTTTAGAGAAATGTCTAATTACAGATCGAATAATTGCTTGCAATATCATTGTGTGTGCTGAATTCAGTGGTATGTCGGGTTCCTTGTTTTGTTTCCGTCGATTAATACAACGCGTTCTACTTCTTCAACGGTGACCTCATGCAGTCTATCTGCCGAGGGGGCGTCTAGCCTGTCAAACATTTCCGAATTTTTATCGCAGAATTTTCCCAACAAATGTCCGCAATTTCCGGAGTCATCAGCACGCTGACATAGATCAGTACTTGAAAAAATTAGTAGGATTTCATTTTTTTCATAATTTTTTTTGTAGGGCAGGGAAGTTATTTGAAATTGATTCAAGCTAAATGTTTTTGTCTGCTGAGAAAACGTCACGTGCGAGCAAGAGTCGTATTTCGTATTTTCACATCGTTTACAATCCACGAGAATGGCAGATGCGAATTGAGATCGTCTCACCGTCCATCTATCTTCATTACCCAGACAATCTTCTTGGTTTCACGTCTGTTATTATCAATACCTATTTACCAAGTCATCCATGAACATGCACCTCTAACTGTCTGCAGAAATCTGTACAATTTCAGCATCAATTACCACCCTTCATAGCACGCATAATACAAAAATACATAATATATTTAAAAAAATCTAATGACTGTACAGAGCAGGGTGTACGCATTGTTGCCTTCGTCTATGTATTGGGGCTAGTGTGCCATCGGGACCTTGTCCATGACGATCTTGGAAAAGATTCAGCGTCACTTGCAGGCACGCGCCATTACATAGATTGCCCCTATTTCGTGTAGTTTGGATTTTTAATATTTCATTCCGGACTGAGTATCATG